CCCTTCCTTTAGTTCATCTTCATCGAGCCCGATCATTTCAGCAGCACATTTAGCGAGCAGGTCTGTAAGGTAGCATGCTCGCTGTATTTTGTATTGACCAGCTTCCACTCTAAGGTCGTCCCACTCTGTCCATTGGTAAGGCCATCTATCATGAACAAGAATCTATTCAAAATCATGGATTATAAATATACTCTTTTCGTCCCTTCTAGTTTTATCATTTTCCTTTTTAGGTTGTCTCAAAAATTTTCTTTTAAACATTATACATTTATAATCCTATAGGTATAACATAAAACTCATTTTTATAATCCAAGAAATTAAAATTTCATTGAGGAGGTAAAAGTTAAACAACAATAAAATGCATGACCATTAAAGAATAAATTTAAAATAATCTGAAAGACTATTAAACTAATACAGAAAATGTGAAATAAAATGCATCACGTAAAATAACATAAGGACTTAAGGAGGAGTATAAAGTTTAAACAAAAACATTACATAAGGGCACCCAATATGGGAGGTCAAATGGGGATAAAAAAAAGTTAACCCACTTGATCCCCATTATGGGAGATCACAAAGTGAAGGATCAAGAAGGGAGGTCACAAATAGGAGTTGACATGTGCTTTGTGACCAACCAATTAGAAAAATCCAAATGACATTTTACTTTGAATCAACCGCATCTACTACCCCCAACTCCCTAATTTCATATATTATGTATTAAATTTAATTTATAATAATAAAAATTTATATCACAAAATTAGATTTTTTTTCCTCTATACATAGACACCAATGAAGGATATATTTAGTTACTTCGAAATTTATCATTTCTTTTCTTCGTGCATCTTATTTTATCTGTTTTAGAACATTTTTTCCTATGAATTAAGGACATGTAACAATTTTTTTAAAATAATTATATATTTATTTTTTCACACTAAATAATTACAGTGGTTCAAATGTGAATTTTATATGGAGTATTCCTTTTTGAAATAAAATAAATTAATAATGGTGGAATATATAAAAAATAAGGAGAGATAGTGTAAAATTTTAAGTGACCTAGGTCACCATAGTAAGGAGAAATTGGAATGAGTTGGAGGGGATTAAGTTTTTGAAAGAAAATGATGTGGAAGAGATAGTAGAAGGTCAAGTGGCATTAGCATTGTGGATGCTCTAATAATAAGATTTATCATTGACTGAAAAGTAGTCATGGCCTCATGGGTGCATATACATACAGACAGACATACGAGGTTTCATTAGTTCATATAGTTGAGACCCCCACACACATTGCCAGGGGCGGATGCACACTTACCTTATAGGGGGCACTTGCCCCCAATAACATCTTAATAATCCATTACATCTACTATAGAAAATAAAGAAAACAATGCTTTGCCCCCAATAAAAATATATAGGTGCCCCCAATAAATATACTACGGAGTAGTATAAAAGTCGTTTTTCTTGCCCCACCCATGCAAAATGTATCACCCTATTAAAATACTACTGGTCGTATACAAAATTTGGTACTCCCTCCGTCCCAAAAACAATTTCACAATTTGACAATCACACAGATTAAGAAAAATAAATTTGACTTTACTGTGGACTGCAATGTTTTGCACTGTTTAAACACTGTTTGACATTGTTTGACATTATTTGACACTGTTTAACACTTTTTTGATGTAGATTATTTGCTAAATAAGAAAAGTATTGAAGTGTGAAGTTAATTTTGAGACATTCATTTAAGGAAAGTGGGAAGTTGTTTTTGGCACGGAATGAGTACTTCACAATCTTATCACGTCACATCACATAATTATTTTATACGGATGAATTGCTTTTTATATACGTAGTGTGTATTACTCCGTAATACTCAACTTTGTATGACAAAGATATCTCTAAAGTTGAGCCAAGGTCTTATATTTTTCATCAGTTGAATATTTTAATTTCATACAAACAATTTATTTAATGTGTTTATTAATAAATAATAAAAATTATGTCATGTATTTCTAGATATATCAACTTTTTATGTCCAAAATTATTTCACATTTTAAGCAAAAACTTCATGTTATTTATATTACTTGGTTATCATCTAAATAATACTCCATGTAAATCATAAAATGCAATTTTCTTTGTTTTAATATACTCCTATCTTGTATTTCCACTTATCTGTCTAGGTTTAACAAATTCAACTGTTTAATATTCTATTTTGCTCACATAAATGTTCTTATTTTCTTTTTTTGAAAGTCCCAAGATTTTCATTTCTAATTTAGGAAACAATTAACACTCTTAAATGACAATTATTAAACATAATAAATTTATAAGTTCACAATTATCACCATTAACCCCATCATATAATTCATATTATATACTCATTAAAAATTATTTTTTAAAATATATTTGAATTATCTTATTTAATTATTATGTAAATAATTGTGTCGTTTTGCTATGAAAACCTTTAAATGGGATGAAAATTTTCTGGTCTGAATCGGTCTGGTACATGTATGGTCTCTTTGTATTTTATAACCATTCAAGTCTGGTGTGGTTCGATATGGTCTGATATGATCTCTCTAGTCTAATCTGGTCTAGGACTGAAAATCGTCCAAGTAAAATCATCCAAGCTCATTACCATTTTATGCATCATTCCATGAACCAATGCATGTTTTTATTGGAAAAGGATTAGTTATGTACTCCTTATTACGCTAATTACAAATATGTACACATTAATTATGATAACCCTTTATAAATCTTGCCCCCAATAACATTTCTGGCTGGATCCGCCACTGCACATTGCGCCCATGTGATTTGATGACCAAAGAGTGGTCGGTCATATACACATTAATCAATTTCCTCGGAGGTGTTTACTTCACTGCTAAAGTCACAGTTAGGTTAGTAAGACAGGTGAAGTAAACACGCACACTGCTTAAAAAGCCGCTTACTAACCGAAAGAGGTGCTTAAAGTGCCGCTTATTAAGCATACCACCCCCCATGTATTAATTAAGCGGCACTTTAAGCTTTTTCAGTTTCCGAATTTACCCCTTGCCCTTAACCTATTGTTATCCGTGCCCCACCTCGACCCCAACCCCACCTACCCCGACCCCACCCTACCCTTACCCCACCTACCCTGACCCCACCCTACCCTTACCCCACCTACCCTACCCCACCCCGACCCCACCCTACCTACCCCACCCCTACCCTACCTAACTGACCCCCCACCCTACCCTTACCCCACCTACCCCCGACCCCACCCCACCCCTACCCTTACCCCACCTACCCTACCCCTACCCTACCCCATCCTACCCCTACCTGACCCCACCCTACCACTACCTACCTACCCAATCCCACCCCTACCCTACTTACCCGACCACACACCTACCCTTACCCTACCTACCCCACCCCTTACCCACATACCCGACCCCACCCTACCCTATCCGACCCTACCCCCTACCCCACCTCAACCCCCACCCTACCTACCCGAACCCACCCTACCACTACCCTACCTACCCAACCCCACCCCTACCCTACCTACCCGACCCACCCTACCACTACCTGACCTCAATCACCCCACCTACCCCACCCCACCTTATACCCCTTACCCCACTATACCTAGGGTGGTGGGGTCAGGGTGGGGCCGATGTGATAGAGGCGCTAGGGGCAAGGTAGGTGTGGTGGGGTAGGGGTAGGGGCAGGGTTGGGGTAAGGTAGGGTAAGGTGGGGTCGGGGTGGGGTCGATGTGGTAAGGGCCTATGGGGGTAGGGGCCTATGGGGTCGGGGGTAGGGTTGCGGTAGGGTGGGGACAGGTTAGGGTGGGGTCGGGTAGGTAGGGTGGGGTCAGGTAGGTAGGGTAGGGGGTAGGGGTAGGCGGTGGGTGGGGTCGGGGTAAGGTAGGGTGGGTAAGGGGTTAGGGGTATGGGTACACATATTATATTATATACTTGTGTTCATGAATGTTTGTGTGTATATATATGTATAGGGTTATTTTGGACATTTTAATGTTAAGCGGTGTTTTAAACCGTTTGAAGTAAACACGGTCTTACAACATTGTTTATTTTATGCGCCGCTTATTAACACGGGTCTTAATAAGCACCGTTTAATAACCGGTGAAGTAAACATGTCCCTCATGTTTAGGGTTGTATACGAACCGAATCGAGTCGAATAAAGAGATTTTGTATTTGTATTTGTTTAATTTTTTCGAATACGAATTCGAATTCAAATATGAAACGAATATTAATTTTGATTTGTATTTGTATTTGTTTAACAATACGAATAGTTAACGAATCATATACGAATATCGAATCGATTTGAGCATAGGTTAAATATTAGTCAAATGTCACTTTAAAATAACTATTCTTATATTCTTAATGGAGTATGTGTTTTTAGAATTTAAATTTAATGGATCATTGCATTTTTAGATGATGAATAATAAAGTGAATTAATTTTATGATTAATAAATATAAATTTATTTCAAACTTTTTGAAATAAACACTAACACACATGTATTAGAAATTATACTTATAATGTGTGAAATAAGTTGATAATTGTATATATCAAAGTCAAACAACTCCGATTTTATTCTTCAAACCGAATACATAATTATATGTATTGTATTCGAAAGACATTTGAACCAAAAAATGATTTGTATTCGTATTTATATTCTGGTTTATTACAAATGGGCTTGGAATCTGTATGCAAAAATGTATATATGAGCTACACTTTGAGGATATTTCTATCTTTTAAAAGTTATTATAGTGTCATTACTATTATTATTAATATTGATATTAATATTACCATTGTTATTAATCGAATATATTTGATTAATATTCGAATCGAATACACTGATATTCTTATTTGTATTTGATAACAACTCGAATCAAATTTAATATTCTTATTCGTATTTGTATTTGAATTTTCCGAATTTGAATCGTCTTATACGAATTCGAATCGCGAATCGAGCACAAATTATTTAATTCGTTTACATCCCTACTCATGTTGACTTGGTAGTGAGAAACACATTATGCATTCACACACGAAAGAACAGAAGAAAAGCCCATTTAACTAACTTACTAGCAAATTAAATACACAAAATTGGAAGATCAAAACAGAGGTAATTGAGAATGGGAATGGGTAGATTCTTATTATTGTTATGGTCGTCCACTATGGCAGTGGGCGTTAGTTGCTGCTTGCTGCTGGCGATGAGTGGAGCTGCTGCTGCTGCTTCCATACCAAAATGCATCGATGGGGAGAGAGAAGTGCTCCTCAAGTTCAAGAACACCGTTCTTGACAAGTTGGACAGGCTAAGCTCTTGGGGCAACCACACTGAAGATTGCTGCCGTGATTGGGAGGGGGTTGGATGTGATCAAGCTACTGGCAATGTCATCCACATCCATCTTTCTGATATGTCTCTGTCCGCGAAAGGTGGTGGTGGGAAGTATAGCACCAGCCTTTCATTCTTTGAGCTCCGCTATTTGAAGCATTTGGAACTTAGCTATAACCCCGACTTGCTGACAAACCAAAGCATCTCATCATTGATTGGGAACAACACCGTGGTTTACCTTCAATACCTAAATCTTACTCAAACTGGAATTGTTGGAACCATTCCTGGAAATCTTGGAAACACCATGCCTGCCCTGAAATACCTTGATCTCGCTTTTAATAGCTTAGAAGGCAACATTCCTGACACACTCGGAAATATGGTTAACTTGACTTCCCTTGACCTGGAATTGAACCGGTTGGAAGGTCGCATTCCTGAAGCTCTAGGGAATATCTCTGTCCTTGAACACCTTGATCTGGGAGCGAATAGACTTGAAGGAGAAATCCCCAAATCCATTTGGAACATATGCACTCTGCAATACCTGAGCATGGAATCCAACCGTCTTAATGGAAGCCTAACCACATCGACATTATGCCCAAATCACCCTCTCAGGAGACTACACTTATACAGCAACCGATTCACGGGGTTATTTCCCAATCTTACAGTTTTCCCCTCTTTGGCCAGTTTAGATTTATCATATAACCTCCTAGATGGGGTCATTTCTGAACATCACTTTCTTAACCTCTCCAAACTAAGCTACCTCGACTTATCTTCAAACAATTTCACTTTCAATGTCTCCTCTGCTTGGCTTCCTCCTTTCCAACTGCAATACGTACACCTTAGCTCTTGCAAGTTGGGGCCTGAGTTTCCGTATTGGCTTAGAACTCAAGCCAACTATACGGAGCTTGACATTTCCAATAACGCCATCTCGGATTCAATCCCCTCCTGGTTTTGGAATACACCTATTAATGGCTTTATGAAAATTAATATTTCTAATAACGGAATCAAGGGAATAATTGCAATTGGCGCTCAAGCATCAATCTGGGGTGGTATTCTAGATATGAGTTCCAATCAATTACAAAGTGTCATTCCACCCTCTTTCTTCAATGTGACAGTACTGCGCCTTTCTCAGAATAACTTCACTGACCTCAACTCTTTATGTGACTTCAAGGCATTTTCTCCTTTGCAGCTTTTGGATATCTCCTTCAATAAACTTTCCGGAACACTTCCGGATTGCTGGTCAAATCTCTCTAGTCTGCAAGTCTTGAACCTGGGAAACAATCATAATCTATCAGGAACTCTTCCAGCTTCCATAGGGTCATTGGCTTCCCTGAAGGCATTGCATCTTGAGCATAACAAATTTACAGGCCCTCTACCTTCATCCATGAAAAACTGCTCAACCTTGGTATCTTTACATCTCGGAGACAACAATTTCTTCGGACCAATACCAGATTGGGTGGGCGAAAGTCTAACACAACTTGCGATACTTGTGCTAAGATCCAACAACTTCAATGCAAGTGTACCAGCAAGTCTGTGCCATCTCCAGTCTCTTCAGCTGTTGGACCTATCCATGAACCACATCTCAGGGACTCTTCCCAACTGTCTTTCTAATCTCACCCAAATGATGATTGTACCAGGAGGTGATGACATTGCCACCATTACGTATGAGTTAACATACTATTTCAACGGTTCACACAGAGCAGCAATCTCTATAAATGACATAATAGATGTTAGGTGGAAAGGTGTTGTCTCTGAATTTGAAAGTCTGTTAAGATATGTAAAGAGCATTGATCTATCATCCAACATGTTGGATGGTGATATTCCAACTGAAATCACATCTCTTGTTGGGTTGGTCGCGTTGAACTTATCACAAAACAATCTAAGCGGACAGATTCCTTCGAGGATTGGTAACTTGGCAGGCTTAAATACTCTTGATTTGTCTACTAACCGTTTGTCTGGTAGCATACCTCAAAGCCTTGCCCTGATTCATGGCATAGGGGATCTCAATGTGTCCAACAATAACTTATCCGGAAAAATTCCTAAAGGCACTCAACTTCAGAGCTTTAATCCTACTATCTACATGGGGAATCCCGCGCTATGTGGAGATCCACTCCCCAACAGCTGTCCAGGAGAAGAATCAACTCGTCCTACTCCTTCTCGATTCAGTGAAGAGGGAGCTTCTAATAGAGAAGAAGAGGATAGATTTATTTGCTGTGAGTTTTATGCAAGCATATGGGTCGGATATGCGGTTGGATTTTTAGGAGTTCTTGGGATAATGCTATTCAACAGGTCCTGTAGGTTTGCATTTCTCAAAGGCCTTGAAAGCTTTCCTAATTGGACTTATGCTGCGGTCACAATGCACAAGGCCAGGTTCCTGAGATCACTTGGTGGTTAGAAGGCCAGTGTAAAATGTAAATACCCTTCATATTGGGAAGCTGATAAGGTATCGTTTTCATGTTATTTCATTATCTATGGTTTATTTTCCGAAATTTCTACTGCATCCTCTTTTGTGATATGTTCTCTATGTCAGTTTCCCTATGTTTTATATGTTTGAATAGCCTGATGGGAATTTTTCGGCTTTCATACTTGTGTCCATCAGCTTAGTAGTATTAAAGTAAACCTTTTGCGGCAGAGAAATTTATCTGTTGAGATTAACACCTTTTTGTTTCGGATCTATTTATTTAACAAGCTATACTTGAGATGGCCATTAATGTTTAAAACGATTAAGAAGCCTTTGCCTCTTAATCCTGAAACCCCAAACAAATTAATGCAGAGCTTAGTGGTCTCCATTCAAAGTGGGTTTTGGAGCGCTAAGTCTATTTAAATTTTAGAAACATTCTATATGGATGGATACTAATAAGTCCCTTTGCTAACTGTTTTTTATTCTTAGTATATTTATTCTCTATTTTGTTATATTATGTGTTAGTGTGCAAAACTGTCGTGATATGTATTCTAAAAATAAAGTAGATAGAATTGCATGTTACGGATTACAGTACAGTTCTTTTGTTTTCTTTTCTTGTTTTGAAGATGGTGTATGTTTCATATTATGGGAGGTGGTTTTGCTGTTAGTACTTAATAGTGGTAAACGTTAAGGGATTGAACTTTTTTGGCCACATGATAGAATCCTAGGTGGTGATGTTAGTTTAAGAAAGTTTCTTCGTGAATGGACCTGCCCTCTTTTTCTTTTGTTGGTTTTCTCCAGTTTGTGTCTATTTTAGATCATGTTTTCCACTTCCTTCAAATTTTCAGGTTTAGAACTTTAGATAGTTACCTGTTATGCAGAAAAATTTGGAATTACAGCAGAAAAAGAAATTGCTGAGAGGAGTATTAAAACAGCTCATGAATCATGATGTAGCAAATTTGATTTATTGATGGGGATCTCATATATATATATATATATATAGCCAGTAAAGTTAAATTTTCGTTGCCATCTCCATGAGTCTTTTTGACTGCTTAAGATATTTTTGATATGTTAAGTTAAGAATAATGGAATTAGTATATACTCCTTAAATATTCTGATAACTTTGTACTAATTTGTAAAGCTGTTAAGTTTAGATAGAAAAATAGTCATTTTAATGATTCTGCTAGGGTCTTGACATGTCTACTACTACAACGTCATCAACTTTTAAAGCTTAGTGCTGTAAGTATGTTAGCATGTGTTCTCAGACAATGATGGTATGAAGATATATAGTCCATATATATGTGTTCCATATTTTTAATTGATATAAACAATTTTTTGATATTTGTTGAGTTTTGAAAACATTGTTTATACATAGTTGATTACATTACTCATTTAAACAATATTTACATTTTAGTCATTCTTAGCTTTTCCTTTTTTTCACCAAATTAAAAGTGATAGCAAATGCCAAATACCAACTTTTTGTAAAACAAACAATTTTTCTCAATTATCTCTTCATGGGGCAAGAGAGAAGGGGGAAATGATGGAAGGAAAAATATGCATGGTACATCTATTTTATACTGTAGTATATATATTGAAGTAAGTTTTTAAGCTTGGGAAGTAGGGAGCTAGCTGCTATTTAAAATATATATTTCTGATCAGCTGCTTTTTTATTACTTTGTGGTTCCAGACAATCTTTTATCACCACTAATAATCCTTCTCCAATCTTCACCTTATTCCAAATTTAGGTGGATCTGCATTTTCATTTGCAGATATCACAGCTTTAGTCAAATTTAGGTTGCTCTGCATTTTCATTCAAAAAAATTGCACTCTGCATATTGGCATATTCCATTAATGCTATAACCTTACCATTAGTGTCTTTATGATCACTAAACCTCCATCATTATTATTTCAGCAGGGGCCGATGCAGCATCACCAGTCAAGAATGGTGCAGAAACTGCCCTTGCCAAATGGGCCATGATCTGTCAAACCAGGGTTACCTGATTTCCGATGGAGCACTGGTAAGTGTCTTCTCAATTATGCATTAAAGACAAAAAGAGGAGTCATTAAATTGAGAATGTTACTTACCATTAAAAAGAATGTTAATGACTCATCTTTTTTTCTTTAATGCATAATTGCATCTCGTAGAATATATTGCAGTTGATTTCAAAGTATTTCTAGGTATTACTTTAAAGCAGATGCTTATTTTGGATGTTATTATAAATGAAATCAGAGCATTGGAACTTGATGCTTTAAAACACAACCACAAGTATTAGAAATTCTAGACTCGAGTATATCAAATAAAATTAATTATAATCAACAACAGTAATAAGCAAACTTGCTGACGACATGATGTCGGTCAGTTTATGTGGAGTTTTTTTCCGAATAGGGATACTTTTCAATTTTATTTCTCAAATAGGGGTACTTTAAAACTTTTTCCCAAACAAGGGTACTTTTGCCATGTCACACACCACGTCAGCGCACTAATCATGTCACACATGCCTTGTCAGCAAAACTGCCACGTCATATGCCAAATCATTCATTGCCTCTTCCATATCATCAAATTTCAGTGTGCTAAAAAATTATTCAAAATCTGGGTTCAACGAGAATTGAACCTACGACCTCACACACACAGCATGACCCTTGCACCTACGAACTCACTTGTTAGAATAACCGCTTTAGAAATATTTGGAGTATACACATGTTAAGTTTAGGAATGAAGAAGCTAAACTCATGTATTACTCATTTTCTTTAAAGACCCCCCGGGCTGTTAAGGATTACAGTGCAGTTCTTTTGTTTTCTTTTCTTGTTTTGAAGATGGTGTATGTTTCATATTATGGGAGGTGGTTTTGCTGTTAGTACTTAATAGTGGTAGAGGTTAAGAGATTGAACTTTTTTTACCACATGATAGAATCCTAGGTGGTGATGTTAGATTAAGAAAGTTTCTTCTTGAATGGACCTGCCCTCTTTTTCTTTTCTAGGTTTTCTCCAGTTTGTGTTCCTATTTCTGATCATGTTTTCAACTTCCTTCAATTTTTCAGGTTTAGAACTTTGGATAGTTACATGTTATGCAGAAAAATTTGGAATTACAGGAGTCTTTTTCGTGGGGATCTCATATATATAGCCAGTAAAGTTTATTTTTCGTTTCTATCTCCATGAGTCTTTTTCGCTGCTTAAGATATTTGTGATCTGTTAAACTAAGAATAATGGAATTAGTATAAACTCCTTAAATATTCTGATATCATTTACTAATTTGTAAAGCTGTTAAGATTAGATAGAAAATTAATCGTTTTAATGGTTCTGCTAGGGTCTGGACATGTCTACTACTACGACGTCCTCAAATTTTAAAGTTTAGTGCTCTATGTATGTTAGCATGTGTTCTCAGACAATGATGATATGAAGATAGTCCATATATATGTTCCATATTTTTAATTGGTATGAACAAAATTTTTATATTTGTTGAGCTTTCAAAATATTGCTTACACATAGTTGATTACATTACTCATTTAAGCAATGTTTATATTTTAGTCATTCTTAGCTTTCCTAATTTCACCAAATCACAAGTGAAGAAGTGATACCAAATACCAATTTTCTGTATAACAAGAACTTTGTCTCAATTATCTCTTCATGGTGCAAGAAGAAGAGGGGGAAAGGATGGAAGGAAAAATCTGCATGGTACAACTATCTTATACGGAGTAGTATATATTGAAGTAAGTTTTTAAGCTAGGGGAGTAGGGAGCTTAGCTGCTATTGAAAATATATATTTCTGATCAACTGCTTTTTTAGATACTTTGTGGTTCCAGGATCCAGGCATAACCTTTTCCAATCTTCACCTTATTCCTAATTTAGGTGGATCTGTATTTGCATTTGCAGATATCATAGCTTTTAGTCAAATTTAGATTGCCCTGCATTTTCATTCAAAAAAATTGCACTCTGCATGTTGACTTATTCCATTCATCCGGCCAGACAGTCAGTCACATAAACCCTGCCATTAATGTCTTAACATTACCATTAAAGTCTTTATGATCGCTAAACCTCCACCACTATTTTGGCAGTAACTAAGATTCCTCAGTCAGTTTATTCATATATTGAGTCTAAAAATTGCGAACTTCTTCTGGGGTAGTAAGGATGGGCAACATAAATATCATTGGGCTAGCTTGGATTTTTTATGCAAGCCTAAGGAGCTAGGTGGCATTGGGCTCAGATCCTTTGATGATATCCAACAAACTTTCTCCCTCAAGCTATGGTGGAATTTTAAGCAATGCAAATCCCTTGCTATGTGGGATTTGGAGGAGACAGACTCTCAAGTTTGGAGAAGCATATGTGGGATAACGCAGAAGCAGAGGGACTAGTCTCTAGACATACAGGTAGAACCGCAGTGGGTTTCCTACTCTGTGATCACAAGGGAGATTTTATTTCTGCTGCTTTCATGATGTTATGCTAGGGAAAGAGAGGAAGGTTTTAATGATCTCAGGCAAAGAGCCTTAATGATGTTCTGTATGCATGGTCGTTGCTCTAAAGGTGTTCTTATCCTAGAGAGCTTATGCAAAACAGTCTTGAGACTAAACTCTATTTTCCAAAGTTGAATCCTTACCATTTTCGATGAAAGCTTGCAAATCTAACTGAAATAAATCCTGGGATAAAGAAACATTATGCTCAAATTTGTCAGAATCTATGGGCTTAATCTCAACTTCAACCGCCTACGAATGTAAAGGCTCCCTCTTTTAAAGATAAATGTCCGAAAAGTTCTGAAAAGCCCACAAGATATAGTATCATAAGGAATCAAGTTAATAAAACACAATAAGAGGTGATAATAAAACATGATCCACAAATGTGATATGAAGTAGCTTTCCCACTTTGTATAAAAATGACCTTTAAAATATTTAATCTTCATAAAAAATGACTTTTTTATCCCTTTGGCCGAACCACCCATTAGTGGGTGAGCCTAGGGGAACACTCACCAAAATATTACAAGTATTAAAATAAATGAGTAGAGGACAAAGTAGGGGAGACTATCAGACTAGGTCAAAACCTCTTATGGAAGGCATCCCTTGTATAAATACAAAGTTACAGCACATTGAAACGTTAACGAAAAAAGAAACGCAATTACGGGATTAAATAAGCACAACCTATAGAGTCCAAATAAATTGCTCCTCTAATCATTCTTGGAACCTCCCGGAGGATTGTGAAATTGTTGCATGCATGTATATCATTGATAAAATGTAAGCATGTCTTTCAGAATGGGATTCTACTTCCAATTTTGTAATTCTTATTCTCATACTCCAAGGAAGTAACTTGTAAAGGGATTTGAGCTCCGCTTCAAACTCGGAATCTGCGTTTAGACCAAAGGACGTAGCTGCTATGAAAGATCCCGCGTGATTCCTTAGAATATATACCGCAGGGAATCCTCGTTTATATTTTACCACCGCAATATTCATCTTTAGAAAGCCTTTCGCCAGTTTCTGCCATGTAACAGATTTGATTTGCTTTTTTATGCAACTTTGGAAACAGGGGCAGACCCAGGAAATTGATATTGGGGGCGATAATTTAACCAAAAAAATCTAGGCGATTATTATTATAAGTTATAACCTTAATATAATACGGAGTAGTAATTAAATGAAACATTATAATAGAAGAAGAAACACATATATTATTACAAAATAGTTAAAGTTAGTACCTTAGAAATGTACCCAACGCTTCTTCAACGAGATAAATTCCTCAATCACGGCTTTTTAGTCAAAAGTTTTAGCAATTTCTCTTTCAATATAAACAATAAGGTTGTCTGCAACATACTCATTCTCCATTTTATTGCGAAGCCTTGTTTTTATAATTTTCATGGAAAAAGTCCTTTCGGTTGTTGCTGTCGAAACCGGTAGAGTCAACAAAAGTCGGATCAATTTATCAACAAGCTAAGAAAGTACACTTTTGACATCTCCGTCTCCGCTAATCTTTGACAAAGTTCACCCATTGTAGAAAAATTCGCCAACTTTGGATAGGTTTAGAACATTGAGCTTATAATGTTGCAATTGAAACCTCAAGCTCACCTTCTCCTGCTCAATAAAATCAAAGGGGTAATATTTATCCACTAAAGAACAGATATCATCGATGTTAAAAGACTTATATGAGTCCTTAGGATCCAAAGCACCACTAAGAGTAAGAAGATCCATTATCTGTTCACATATCAACCCGATAGTGACGTTCAATATCAAACCCTTCTTGATCATGGTGTTTGCGTTTTACTGCATAAGGAGACTTCATATTAGGAACTTCAATTTCATGCTTTGTGCAAAACTCTTTAACAATTTCTAAGAAGTTATCCCATCCACCCTCCCTTAACTTTTGGATCAACAATTTGGTGCTTGACACCAAATGCCTAGCATTTACTATGTCTTGACACTTCTTCTGTATATGCTGACATAGAAGATCTGTAATGTCCATAATTTCTTTAATAAGATGCAACAAGAAAACAAAATCAAAAGATTTAATCTTCTTAAGTTCTCTAGCTGCATTTCCACGAGTAGAATAGTTATTGCCATTCTCTTCAGCATCTTCTAAAACAGAACAAGTTGCAGCAAACATCCTAATCAAACTGCAAACAGAACTGAAATGTGAGCTCCAACGAGTTTCCCCAGCTTGTTGTAATGTACCAACCTAATTAAGTCCTCTGCTTATTTCAAGCTCACCAATTTCCAACATTCTTGCAATTTCAAGTGCTTGAGCTTCCTTTAATTCATCACTTCGTTTGCAAGAAGAATTAGTCACATTAATAATAAAGACTGAATCGATGAAAAAATTGTGCACATATTTCACCTCTCTAGAAGCAGCAACCAATGCTAATTGCAACTGATGTGCTAAGCAATGAACATAGTAGACACAAGGACAATCATTTAAAAATAATCGATCTTTCCATTTCTTTCTTCTAGGTGCGCATGTTTTTCATTAGTTTGGTCTGGGCTGGGATTAGATTTTGGGGTGGGTTAATGGGGAATAAATTTTGGAGTGAGTTGATATAATATTACTTGTAAAATTTCTATTTTTTTAGGCTCTTAAACAATTGGGTTTCTGCGAGTGGGCTATGCTTTGGGGGAGAAAATATTTTTGGGGGGGTTCAAAATTTTTCTTGGAGGGGCGAGAATTAAATGTTGGGGGAGTAAAAATAAAAATTTTGTATATATATACACTAAAAGAAATTGTTGGGGGGCGGCAGCCCCCCTGGGTCTGTACTACCGTCCGCCCCTGTTTGAAAGGGAACAAGTGAGCTCCCACAATTAAACTAAGATGTCTAAATTCCTTAGCTGATTGAAGACTGTTAAATGTCCCACACCGGAAAATTGAGAAGCATTAGAGTGCTATATTAAGCTTCGGGCTACTCCTCTTAACAGGTTGACCTTTTAGGATCGAACCTCGGATCTTAACAAAGACAAAAGATATAGGAGACATTTCTGATCCCAAACTATCGAACAATATTCTTTCCACAGATGCCAAGAGTTCGAGTGCAAGTCTCTGATATGCAGCCTGCTACCAAAAAATTGCCAAACGTGGAAGGCAAAAGAACATTAAAACTATGGATGTACTTTATACTTGAAAAAATTAAGACCTGCACACACATGTGATTTGATGACCAAAAAGTGGTCATATTCATGGATTTTGATATATTTTGTTCTCCAAATTATTCAAAATAGAGATCAAACTTCACGAACTTTTATGATCTTTCATATGATACCATTATGTGATATATAAAATGATTTTTATTTTGAAGTTTTAACTATTGAGGTTTTGTTGAACCAGAAAAACATGAAACACAATTTTTTAATTCATGGAGCCTCCACATATAACTGAATATTCCATAATCGAATTTTACTTGAACTAAGTCCATATTTTGTTAACCGAAAAAAGTAAATAAAGAATTAATGAAATTTATTTATTTATACATCAAAATGTGTATTTTTTTAACAATTATTCAGGGAAAAAACTAAAAGAAAAGAAATAATTACATAAATATGATCAAAATAAAGATGATTTACAAAAATATGATTAGTGACTAGAGTAGTAATGAAATCATAGTAATTCAGGTTCAAGTTTTGAGCTTAAGTTACCACAACACCATATTGTAGTAATGAATAGTCATATTTATGAAAATATGTTTTATTTTAGTAATATTCTTGTAAAAAACCCAAAAGAAAAACATTACTTATAATAATTTAATTAATGTTTTACTAAATTGATACATAAAAATATGTTGATGTAATTTTTTGATAATGTCGAAGTGCATGGAAGTAGGAGTAAACATTGTTTTTATTTGAGACTAAACTCTATTTTCCAAAGTTGAATCCTTACCATTTTCGATGAAAGCTTGCAAATCTGTCTGAAATAAATCCTGGGATAAAGAAACATTATGCTCAAATTTGTCAGAATCCTGGAAATTAATCTCAACTTCAACCGCCTACGAATGTAAAGGTTCCCTCTTTTAAAGATACTAGTTATGTGACGCGCGATGCGCGACGGCTAGGTGCCCAATAAAATTTTTTAGTATTTAGTAACCATTTATGATCTACATCATGGAGAAGCGCAAGTTAATATATGATCAAGATAAATTAATATAAGTAAATACTTTAGCACCTATGGTTGCTCGCGTAATATAGAACTTTTAAATAATTATGATTGAAATACAAATAATATGCCATGTATTTTTTTCAAAAAAAAAAAGGATACACCATGACAGTTTATTTCCACCGCCTCTGCATATGAGGCTATAAGATGCAGTGAAGCATCTCGAATATCTTCCTTTATTTCCTCTAGAGATTCTTTCACAATATCATACTTTTCCCAGGGAATTTGAACAGGTTTTAACTTCAACTACCTTCTATCTGTCAATAGCTTTGCAGCCTTTGCTCCGTACTTGTAACTTCAGCGTTTTTAGTTACTTGCATTCATGATGTCTCATTTTTAAGATCAGTTTCTTGTTATAACGACAAAATATAGGGGTCGTCTACAAATGGTCATGTACCAACGTAATTTCCCATAAATATACTACAAATTACTCCTACCTTAGTTTCCAACATTGTTTTGTCACCTGATAGAACTTGGAATAGTTCAAAGTGATAATAAAGTTTCATAATTCGGGCACAAGTGTGTGATTTCCTTATTGATATCATCCTCCATAGACTGTGCAGAAGCAATGACACTTTCCAACTCAGGCATTTGCTTCTTCATCTCATCAACATCTTCACCAATACGTGATTTCTCCATCTTGTGCTTCTTCTTTTCACCGCGGGTTTGAGTCAACAAGCTCTGGAGATGTTCTTTTTTGTCATTATATGACAAAATCTCATTTAATAGCAACATTTTTGAAGAATCCATAACTTGTGACCACTATCACTTCTAAAATCACAAGTATCAACCACCAATCCACCATCACTTGTGAGAAATTGGAATAATATCATACAGAATAAACTAATGTGACGTTGAATGCAAGAAATATGAAAGATGCATGATTCATTAATCCTTTGAAGAGAGTTAATATATAGAAAGGACATAATATATTTTGAAAAGTGGAATATATAGGATGTCATTTCATCTAGACCTAGGACTAAGTAAAATGAAGGTGCATATAATTACCAACA